GGACCTATAACCCCATCTTAGGACTTGATTTGGAATTACTTTTTGTTGTAATTGTACCAAATCAGATATACCATTACTTTAGTCAACGGATTTCCTATAGGCTTAATAAAATATTGGCGATATTCGTACCCAGTCGACTCCATATTGGCAGAAGCGGAGTTGATTCAATCACCTTTTTGATCTTACCGAAATTTATATACCCTAATAAACCTCAAGGCTAAATTTATTTATATATTTTTTTTATGAACGTAGTATAGAGTGCATATTCTCTTAAGCAGATCAACACATGCATTCATGCCATTTCATAGAATACGCAAGAGAGCATAAATATTTGATCAAAACTGCAAATATAAGTGCAAGCTACACATGCATGTAGTGTTCGTTTGTTTTAAAATTTTACAAAATTGCACTATACTCTAGTGTATTTGAAACTCTCCTCCCTACCATCAAAGAGAAAAATATTATTATCGTAAAAAGTTCATATGTGTATGTGCCCATGTTGATGTATGTTGTTGATAGAAGAAACTTTTTCTAAGTAAACTCCCATAAAAAGTGTGTTCAAATATTTTTATATCACAAATACACAAACGCAACACACACACGCACACACACACACTCCGTCACATACTATAAAGTTTTATTATCGACATCTGATTAAAGATGAAAGAAAATTTCAAACTGTACAGACATAGCAAATATGGTGTATATTATAGAGAGGTATAGATGAAGGACAAGGCAAAACAAAATTAGAACACATACACACACACATTTATATATATATATATATATATATATATATTCTCTAAAGGGCATATCAACATGAAAGGATGTCGAAAATAGCTAACAATGTGTTTGAATGGGGCGGGAGGTGTAACGCTACAAATGAGGTTAAATGAGATATTATTGTGCAAAACGAGAAGAAAAATCGGAAAGGGGAAACGGAAATCAAACAAGCTGTGCTGTCTGCAACACTTGAAAGCCACTATCGTCACATTTTGAATGTCAGATAGAAGATGAAGGTCGGGCGATGGAGGAACTGAAAACGGAAATAATGTTCGAACACGGACGACACGTAACATGTGTGCTGCTGCAGACAATGGAAATGTTAGTGCCGTTGTTTGTACACTTTGGGAATTTTGAACCTTGGAAAGTGTTAAACAATGGTTACCTTATATCAACATTCTTCGAATTTTTTTCTTTTTTTAGTTTAAAAAAGTATTTTAGAAAATTTTTCTTGAAGACCTTTTTTGAAGAATTTCTATTTTTTGGGGGGATGAAGAAAATTGTATTGTTGTTTTTTTTTTCTTCTTCTCCTTAATTTTGCTCTTATGTTTCAGCACATGCCTGGGGTGCTCCTTTAGAAAAACATAAATTCAATATTGATACAAAAATGGTTAACAAGAATTTCCCACCATCACATAATGTGAAGAATTGTTTTCCTAAGGCAATTGTTGAAACAATAAATGTATGTGTGTGTGTTTATGTCGTATGTTCAATAAATTTTGTCCATTATTTTAAAAGAAAATCCATTAACAATTCAATTGATTTTTTGTTTGTTTGTTTATTTTTATAAAGCAACGAGACTTCGAGAAAATTATTCAATTTATTCCAAAATGTTTTAAATTGCCTTTTAAAGGTTTTTCATGTTAAATATTTTCCATTTCGTCCCTGGTACTAAGAGGGCAAGATATTGGTATTTTTAAAAATATAAAAATAATTTTCTATATTTAGCGTGGAAACTTTCAGATCAACCATAAAGGTTGCCTTCAACTCTTCGAGGAATTTATAAAAATGAGTAGACTCTTCTTCTCCCTCTGAACTTTAGAGAAAGTCCCTTCAACTTGTATATTGAAACCCTTCAGATCATCTGAGGATACTACCATTTGCTCGTCTAGAGAAACTCGCCTACAGAGACTACCTTAAGCTCCTGAAGAGAGAATCCCTTCATATTTCCTAGAGAGACTCTTAGTAGTTCCTCTAGAGAGACTACCTTAAGCGCTTGAAGGGAGACTACCTTCAGCTCGTCTATAGATACTCCCTTCAGCTCGTCTATAGAAGAGACTCCCTTCAGCTCGTCTATAGAAGAGACTCCCTTCAGCTCGTCTATAGAAGAGACTCCCTTCAGCTCGTCTATAGAAGAGACTCCCTTCAGCTCGTCTATAGAAGAGACTCCCTTCAGCTCGTCTATAGAAGAGACTCCCTTCAGCTCGTCTATAGAAGAGACTCCCTTCAGCTCGTCTATAGAAGAGACTCCCTTCAGCTCGTCTATAGAAAAGACTCCCTTCAGCTCGTCTGTAGAAGAGACTCCCTTCAGCTCGTCTATAGTAGATACTTCCTTCAGCTCGTCTATAGAGACTCCCGTTCAGCTCGTCTACAGAGACTCCCTTCAACTCGTCAAATTATAGCCCCTCAGGTTGGAAAATAGCTATAATAAAGATGGACAGACTAAAATCTATATATAAAATATATAACCATTGAATTTATTTTCCCTTTAATTTTTAAATTGAAAGTCGTTCCCATTCAGGTTCATACATACAATCAGCAAATGTTTTAAAAATATTTGTACACCAGTGCGTATACATATTGTACAGTGGAAATGGGATACAGCAAACGTATACGCCACCCTGAACACCCTAAAAGTTGTACTACATTTTGAGCTTATAGATTATCTCGTCTTAATATTTCATTTTAGTTGAATGAACATCGATTGTTTCTTAGAAACAATTTTTGTGCAGCATTTTTAGTTATCTAAAATACAAAACATACAATTTCTTTGTAAAGCAGTGACCTGAACATTTTTCCTTTAAAATAAGCAATGGCGTTGACATTTATGGATATTTTAAAAAAATATTTTTTCAAGGACCAACAGAAGGCGTAGATTTTTTAAAGAATATTTTTTCAATGATAAAGGCGTAGATTTTTTTAAAAAATATTTTTTCCATGACCAAGAAAGGCGTGGATTTTTTAAAGAATATTATTTCTATGGCCAGCAGAAGGCGTAGATTTTTTAAAGAATATTTTTTCAAGGACCAGCAGAAGGCGTAGATTTTTTAAAGAATATTTTTTCAATGACCAGCAGAAGGCGCGGAGTTTTTAAAGAATATTTTTTCAATTACCAGCAGAAGGCGCGGAGTTTTTAAAGAATAATTTTTCAAGGACCAACAGATGTCCTGGATTTTTTCAATGACTAACAGAGGGCGTGCATTTTAAAAGAACAATTTTCAAGGACCAACAGAAAGCGTAGATTTTTTAAAGAATATTTTTTCAATGACTAACAGAAGGCGTGGATTTTTTAAAGAATATTTTTCAATGACTAACAGAAGGCGTGAATTTTTTAAAGAATATTTTTCAATGACTAACAGAAGGCGTGAATTTTTTAAAGAATATTTTTAAAGGGCAAACCAGGCGTGGATTTTTTAACGAATATTTTTTTCAATAACCATTACAGACGTATATTTTTTAGAGAATATTTTTCAAGGGCAAACCAGGCGTAGATTTTTTAAATAATATTTTTTCAAGAACCATTACAGTCGTAGATTTTTTAAAGAATATTTTTTCAAACACCAACCGAAGGCGTGGATTTTTTAAAGAATTTTATTTTTCAATGATCCACCGAAGGCGTGGATTTTTTAAAGAATTTTATTTTTCAATGATCCACCGAAGGCTTGGATTTTTTAAGGAATATTTTTTCAATGACCAATAGAAGACATGGTATTTTTTTATAATTTTTGAAGAATATTTTTTACCAAAGACCAACAGAAGGCGTGATATTTTTTATAAATTTTGAAGACCAAAAAAAGGCTTCTGAATTTTATACCCTACACAACAATGTTGTCAGGGTTTTATAGCTTCGTGCAGCACGAAGATTGTGTAACGCCGCGTAATATTGGTCCTAGACCCACTTTTAAATATAACCATCGACATATCTTGACATGTGGTGCCCGTCCATCTGTCAAATATAATTTGTAAATACTATATACGCCACAGTTATTGGCCAATCGTCACGAAATTGTGCATGTAGGACACGAATTGTGCATAAGAAAGGCGACGAAATGGACCAATAACTTTTTTTGTTTATTTTTTTTTTTTGTTCGTTCTAGAGGCCACGATTATAATCAGAATATCTCCAAATTTTATGCAGAGGATGAGGTCTGGTCAGGGATAAATATGTCTCTTTTCAGGAGAATCGGTCAATATTTAGTCGGACAAATGGACCCAGACTTTTGTGTGAAAAATTAGAAAATTTGTATTCTATGGCTATATATTTGCTCTTGAAGGACATAGACTCGAAATCTTGATAGTATAAATTGATACCAATTATATGGATGAATGTAATCGGATGCGAGTACCATTATCCCGATAGAAGGCAGAAATGACGCGATGATTTTTATGGAATTTTACATTAAGTTCATTAGTATTCGGAAAATATACCAAAGTAAGGAAGAGGAGCTGATAAACTCTAATCTGTCGTCTCAGAATATAGATCCACAGAAAGTTAGAGTTCCGTTGTAATTGTATGGGATATCATATCGTATGCTCCGCTCACTGGTTTAAAGAATCCGAATACCGAATTTGGAGCGGGGTCATTAATGCTGTGTTTAAATATTAACTCACTGATTGTTTTTGGTAAAGAATTAAGAATTCCAAAAATAAAAATATGGGTTCTACGTCGAAATATGGTCCTACATATTTTGAATTTTTTATTTTATGCTGCTATTTTTCATCGTTCAAAAACCGGAATGTCCAAAAGCTACCACTTAATTAGACACTCCAACTGAGACCTTCAATATACCAAATTTTCGCCATATACAGGATGAGTTCAAAAAAAAAAAAAAAAAAACTGCAACAAAGCCAAACGCCATAATTTTTATTTATTTTTTTTTTAGATTTTATTGAATGATAGCAAAAAATATCGGAAATAGCATCAAATTTTAGAATAAGTTTAGATTTGTTGCAATTGGTCACCTTTGGCACGAAGTATGGCCTTCGCATGACCAATGCAACCGTCACACGCTGCGCAAATGTTTCTCTGCGGTATTTTGGTCCATTACCGGCGAAGCGCTTGCTTGAGGTGATCAACACTTTGGTATTTTTACGGGCCAACCTTGCTTTCCAAAATACTCTAGACAAAATAGTCCAACGGATTGGTATCCGGAGATTTTGGAAATGAAGGCAGAACCTCATTTTGTAACCATTCTTGGGTGGCGCGTACTGAGTGCGATTGTGCTGAGTCATGTTGGAATGTCCAAGGTCTGCGGCGAAAATGTTTGCGTGCTCAAGGCTTTAATACACCCTCTAGAATTTTTGCGAGATAATATTCTGCATTTTTTCTGATACCACGGTTGATTAATACGAGCGGAGAGTGATCATTGGCTGTTTTGGCGGGCCACACCATCACCATGACCGGCGCTGGTGTTCTGGTGGCCAACCGAAAGTGCCCATTTTCAGCTGACCTCTTTGGCAAGTAAACACGATAATTTTGTTTGTTTACAAACTGCTGGACAACGAATGTTTTCTCATCGGAGAATACCAAATTCAGCAGTTCACCACTTTCGGCCAATCGAAGCTACACTTTAGCTCTTTTGAGTCTATTTTCTTTCTGCTGCGGTGTAAGTTCTTGCACCTTTTGGAATTTCAATGGCTTTACCCCGAGCTCATTTTTCAATATTTGCGATATGTTCAGCTCACCGAGCTCATTTTTCAATACTTGTCGAAAGGAATATTGCGATATGTTCAGCTCACCATTTTTCGGCCACTGCGACGCGCGTTTCGATAAAGTCGCTTCTTTACTTTTCGAACCATTTCTTCTGATGTTGCTGCTTTCTTCCGTCCACTTCCTAGATGTCTGAATTGGTTGCAGTTTTTTTCATCTCACCCTGCTGTATGTATATCAGCCCCTAAAAATCCGCAATGCCAAGTTATAGTTACTTATTAATTTTTGGAAGAAGATGAGAACCCAAAAAAATAGTATTAGAACCAAAAATGTATCCAAAGTGCATTAAATACCTAATAATTAGGTGTGTCGTGTAGCCCGAGACTTTAAAATACATTTTTGGTATGGAGATTTTTGTACCCAATGAGAATCAAAAAGTTTCGGAATATGTATTAATTGCCCTGAGTAGAATTCACGACTCAAAAAAATCGGACTACCCTGCATTCCGGGTCAAAATATTTTCCTGATTACCTTAATGCTATGCCCAAAAAAATCGAATATACAGTCGAATAATGATGACATCCAAAAGTCCCGAAAAAAATGCAGTCCTTTATTTGATATCGGCCTTATTTCTATATTTTCCTCTCATTAAGACTATGTGACGTATTAGCAACATTGTCAACATGTACATAAAACACGTATACGCCATGTTAAACCAACAGCGAACATTAATTACCGCTAGACTGCTAATTTAACGTCACTCACACGTTTATGATACATTTTCATTAAATCGTATATTTTCTATCAAGCTATCATCTCTACTCTACGCTAGTCATTTAATAATAAAATTAAAAAAGTATTCTTTATTATGTTTACAGGCACTGTGGTGTGTGGCCGTCCATCTGCCTGCCTGTCTGTCATACAAGTCAATAAAAAAACTGATTAATGTTCTACACGAACAAGTTCATACACTTTTGTCTTAATTAATCGAATAAATTCCCTATTTAATGACATTGCAGAATAACGCAGAGACCTCACCGTCATACAACTGAACCGACCCGGCTAGGTTAGTTAAAAGGGCGGAATTGGATGGCTAAATGAGTGGAAGGCGGCTGGTGTGCGAGAGTTCGACCCACCAGAGTTATAAAATAATTAACTACCTGTAATATAAGTTTGTCAGCGTGTGTGTGTGCGAGTTCATGTGTTCAAATATGTGTGACAACACCAGCCTGCTTTGAATGGTTAAGTAAAAAAATGTAATATCGTTGAAGGTGTCCCAAGTAACCGGAGAGTATGTGACGTGCAGTACTCACACATCCACTCACATGTCATTTGTTGTTTTACTATTGTTGCCGCTGTTGTTGGTTGGTGTTGTTGTTGTTTCCCTTACTGCCAATGCTGATGATGTGTTAATAAATTTACGTAATAAAGTTTTTTCTGTTTGCAATTGCCACTCTCTTACATCAGTTAGTTATCACGCCTGTAGGCAGGTGATATTGTCAATGAAGTCAGTTTATTAATAAAGATTCTGTAGATTGAAGTGCAAAAAACTGGTTCCTACAAACAACAGCGCACCAATACCAGTCAGCCACCATCACCACCACCAACTGTTATCAAATATTTGCACACACACACATTTATTACCTGTTTTGTTTCCCACTCAATTTTATAGGCCTTTATTAAATTCTTTATTGTCCCTTAGCCAATAACAACATGGGTTGTCATTGGTTCCATGGATGACTCTTACATTCATAGAAACTGATTCTCATATAACCTAAAAGGTGTACCCTGTACATGAAACATGGAGAAATTAACATCAGCGAAGGTAGCCAATTTGGCATATATTGAAGAAGAAAATTTGTCAAGAAAATTCATCTTATTCATCAGGAAACTCATAGAAAGCGTTCATACATATAAAATTAATTTTTTTAGCCTTAAGGCTGAAGTGCCTTTCCGCCTAGTTAGCTAGTTAGCTGAGGTGGTTTGTGCGCACTAAAAAGCTCGAAAATAGTAGCCTCTTTAATCCCAACTTTTCACATCGTAATATTTATTCCAAACCTTTAGTATGTTCGTATATTCGGCCACTCTATCAGGACCACTCCTACATATGGTCAAATTAATAATATCCTGCGAAAGGGTTATCCGTTTTGACCAAACTTTGCATAACCTTGTATTTTTACTAAAACTATATCGCCTTCGAAGGTGGTAATTATTGGTCCTCTCCTTCTGGCATATTTTGAAAATCTTATAATGCAATAGTAGTATGCGATTTGATGACAACTCTGCACATCGTAATATATTCGTCAAATTTTCTTTGTATCTGAAAATGGATTTTTTTTTCATTTTTTTTTTATTTCTTTTTATAGAGAGTTACAATTCATTATATAGAGAGTTACAATTCATAGAATCCACGAAGCTATAGGCTTGTCTGTAGGATATTCTTAAATGTAATTAGTCTATATTACAAAGGCTGTTTAACAATTCATTTTATTTAATTATTATATAAATTATTATTGGGAATTTATTAAATGTTCTTTAAGCAATTTCTTTCTTTTAAATTTATTACTTAAGCTTAGTATAGATGCTGGTATGGAATTCATGAGCGATGGAAGGCCAACACTGAGCGTTCGTTTTCCGTATTCGTTTTTGAAGCATGGTATCTTGTATTTTCCTAATGCTCGGCTTCTTGTATTCTGGGCGTGGTTGATTCTATGTAGGATACTTTTTTCATCGTGAAGCTCATTAAGTATGGTAGTCTTGTACAAGTTTTCAATGTTTAATATGTGCAAAAGTTTCGGTAGATTTTCGTTGTAGTTTGTTATTGTTTGAGTTGATGAGTTACTACCTTGTCGGTTAGTGTTAGATCGGAGTAAACTTTTTTGTAGTATTTTCCACAGGCTATTTTGTGTAATTTGAAGTATTCTGCGTTTAGATGCATTGCCCCATACAGATATTCCATGTCGTAGATAGGATTCAACCAACGAGAAATATGCTTGCCTCAACACTTTATATGGTGCACAAACACTTAGGTGATACAAGGCGTAGGATGATTTTCGTAGTTTTTTTTTATATTATCAATCTGTGGTCTCCATTTCATATGACAGTCTAATAGCATTCCTAAATATTTGAACGTATCTACTACTTCAATTTTGGTTGAGCACGTTTTTATAGATCCATTCCTGTAGTACGAAATCTGACATAAATTTAAAAAAAAAAATATTTTTAAAAAATCTGGGCCGATTAAGATAGATTAGTTAGGTAAATAGATAGATATATAGATAGATAGATAGATAGATAGATAGGATAGATAGGATACATATGATAGAAATGGTAGATATATGATAGATGTGATAGATGTATGATAGATAGGTTTGATAGGATAGACACGATAGATATGATACATATGATAGATGTGATATATTTGATAGATAGGGTAGATAATAGATCGGCATATATTTTCTGATTTTTAAAGTTCTTCCAGACATCAAAATAGGATTTTCCCGAAACCCATCTAGGTCATTCTAAATATATACGATTTTGAGTAGCCATTCTGAGTAATCAAGACTTTTCAATCCTCCAACTCGCAATGTATCCTCAACACGTTCAATAGGTTAGGTCTTCTATATGATCTTCCGGCGATATTTTACAAATAAAATACCTTCTATAATTAAGCCACTTAGAAGATCTATCGGAAAAAGCCTGTAAATAGAATACCTGTCTATATTCAGAAAAATTCAGGGTAAGAGCTCTTCATCAGGTTTTGTAGAGTTCGAACATTTTTTGAAGGAATTCTGCTGTTTAAAGTTCTCTCTAAGACCTTCAGTTGGTAAAATGGTATCTAAATATATTGAGAATGTTATGGAAACATTCGATAGATATCGTTCTGGAGAACATTGGTAGATAGAATTTGCTCTAGAGACTTTTCTCCGATTTGGGGTGTTCTAATAATACCTGATTGATCAACGCACAGACAAATCGTCTGAAGCTAGAATCTTCAAACTTTTGATCACTTTTGGTTCAAAACTGACACAAAAGACTGGGTTTTTAGAAATTCGTAAGCAAAACGGTACGAAAAGTACTAAATGTGGTACCATTTGTATTTGGTGAACTGGTAAAGCTAGAAATCCTAAATTTGAAATGAGAGTCACTTAAGGGATGCAGAATATATATAGCAAAGGATTTTTTTAGCCATTCGAACTATAAGTATCCGAAAAGTACTAAAATGTAGTAAATTTTGTGCAATTTCGTAGCATGTGAACGGATAGAGCTTAAAACTTGAAATTTGGAATGCGAATCAGGATTGAGATGTAAAGTCGATATAAGGAGGTAGTTTAAAAGCTTGTACTCATTTATTCAAAAAAAGTACTAAACAGTACTAAATGTGGTACAATTTAACTTTGGAGAGGCGGTTTGAGCAGAAATCCAGATATTTGAAATTACATTATCGTCGGAGTGTAGGATTAGAATATGTAGGTACTTTTGGTTAAACCGATAGATCTGGAACACTGAAATTTGGAAATAATATTACTTTTGGAGTGTAGGATTAGGATATAGATATAGTTTTGGAAATTTATACTTACGGGTACTAAATGGTACTAAATTTGGTACAATTTGAATTTTGGGGAAACCAATAGAGTTTGAATCTTGACATGTGGAGTTAGGATCACTGTTGAGGTGTAGAATTGGGCTATGTAGGAAGTTTTGGAAATTCATACTAATGTGCATTTGGGTGACCCGATAGAGATATAATTTCGAAATTTTAAGTTAGGATCACTCTTTGGGTGCACGATTGGGCTGTGTAGGAAGTCTTGGAAGTTCATACTAATGTGTACTCAATTTGGGTGAACCGATAGAGATGGAATCCTAAAAATTTTGTTGGGGTGTAGAATTGGGGTATAAAAGATGTTTAAAAATGCATACTAATGTGTTTTAAATGGTACTAAATTTTGGTACAATTATATTTGGGTGACGCGATCGGGCTGGAATCCTGAAATTGAAAATTGGATTTATATTAATGCGTACTAAATTTGGCAAAATTAAGATTTTGGGTTAACCTATGAAGAATTCTTTTGATTTGATGATTTGAAGCCTCATACTATTAGGTTGGTGCGTATGAAATGTCGGATTCTCTTTACATGCGAACGTTTGTCTCCCGGTTTTCGTTATACTTTTGTTTTTGGCAT